CAAGCGATCGACGCTTCCGCGCACCGCCGGACGTCCGAAGACGAACGGCTCTTCTCGAAGACCGAGGTCGAGATCAAGACCGCGGAGCTCGCGCGCGTCACGGCCCTCTACGAGCAGGCGGCGGAGGCGTCGAAGCAGCTCGCGGACGAGTTCGAGAGCCGGAGCCTCGCGTGCCGCTGCGCGGAGGAGACGCGCGACGCGGCGATCGCGGACGTGAAGCGCTGGGCCGAAATCAAATCTTCAACCCGACTTCAATATGCGCGTATGCGACAGTTTCGACGCGAGGCCTTCTACTGTGCTTCGAGGATTCGACGAGAGCAAACGATTCGTCCCAAAATCAGCCGAATCGGCTTCGATTTGACCGAGCTAGAGAGGCTTGAATTGGCCCCGACGTCCCAGCTCACTGTTTGATTTCCACACAGGTGAAGCAGGTCGTCGACGACTACAACGCCTTGCGCGCGGAGCTCGAGCGGTCCGCCGCGGCGTCGCGGGAGACGGAGCACGCGCTCACGCAGCGCGCCCTCGACCTCGAGGCCGAGCTCGCGGCCGCGCGCGGCGCGGCCGTCGATCTCGACGTGCTCGCGAAAGCGACCGCGGCGCTCGAGGCGTCCGAGGCCTCCGCCGAGGACGCGCGCGCGGAGCGCGACGCGGCCGTCAAGGCGCGCGCGGACGCGTCGGAGCGCTACGAGACGTCCATGCAGGCGCTGACGGCGCAGCAGGAGGAGTTTGCTTCCGCTTTGCGCGACGCCATCGCGCAGGCGCGCGACGCGGGCGACGCGCTCGACGACGAGCGCGCGCGCTTCGAGGCGGAGAAGAAAGCTTCGCGCGACGAGCTGCGGGCCCTCGAGCGGCGCCTCGCGGACGTCGACCTGTCGGCCGTCGCCGCCGAGGAAAAGCTCTGCGACGCGAAGCGGATCGCGCTGACGTCGCAGCAGGAGGTGTTGAAGCTGACGCAGGACCTCGCCGACGCGCGCGCGGCGGCCCAGCGCCGGACGGCGAGCGAGTCGTCCCAGTTCGCCGCGGACCTCGCCGAGGCCAAGGAGGCGCTCAAGGCCGCGCGGTCCGAGGCCTTCGCCGCGAAGGCGGCCGAGGCGACGCTGACCGCGTCTCTGGAGAAGGCGCGCGAGAAGGAGGAGGCGCTGTCGAAGCGCCTGAGCGACGTCGTCGACGAGTTCCACGTCGCCAAGAAGCGGCTCCAGGCCGGCGACGACGGCGCGTCCGTGCTGTCGCAGGACAACGACCGGCTCCGGCGGCTGAAGGAATCCTTAGAGAGCGACGTCGCCGACGCGCGCAAGGTCTCCGCGGCCCTCGAGGCCGCCGTCGCGTCGCTGGAGGCCAAGCTCGAGTCGACGTGCGACGCCCTGCGGAGCGAGGCCGCCCGCGATCTCGAGGCCGCGCGCGAGGGCTTCGAGGCGCAGACGCGGCAGCTCGCGGCGGAGCACGACGCGACGGTCGGCGCCTTCCAGGAGACGCTCGAGGAGACGGAGGCGCAGCGCAAGACCTGGGAGGACCGCGCGAAGAAGACGAAGGCGCGGTTGAAGGCTTTGGAGGCCGACGGCGACGACGCGCGCGCTTTGGACGCCGAGGCGCTCGAAGCGCTGCGCCTGTCGTCCGTCGAGGACGCGGAGCGCGTCGAGGCGCTGGAGCGGTCCAAAGACAAACTCGCCCGGGAGCTGGCGCAGGTCAAGGCCGACAACGAGGCGACGGCGCGCGACGAGCTGCGCTTCCAGGAGCACCGCGTCGCCGAGGCGGACGCGCGCGCGGACGCCGCGGAGCGCGAGACCGCCGACGTCGCGCGGCGCGTCGCGGCCATCGACCTGGAGCTCGCGGCGTCCCAGGAGGCGGCGGCGACGTCCGCGCGGTCCGCGGCGGCGTTGGAGGCGCGCTGCGCGGAGCTGGAGCTCGACGCGCTCGAAGAGCAGCTCGAGGTCGCCCGGGCGCGGGGCGACGAGATCGAGCAGTCCCTGGAGGACGCGGAGACGGCGCGCGACGCGGAGGCGGAGCACCGCGAGTCGACGGAAGCCATGTGGGAGGAGCACATGACGGCGGCCGCGGGCTACCAGGAGCGCCTCGACGCCGCGGAGAAGCGCGTGCGCGAGCTCGAGCAGGCCAAGGCGGCGCCCGCGTGTGACGAGGGCGAGCGGCTGGCGACGCTCGAGGCCGAGCTCTCGGAGACGCGGCGGTCGCTGGAGCTGTCTCGCGCGGAGCCGGACGACCTGCGGGCGAAGCTGGAAGAAGCGGAGGCCGCCGCGGACGAGGCGGAGATGCTCTGGGAGGAGCGCGGCGCGGACCTGGAAGCCCTGGAGCAGGAGCGGGACGCGCTCCTCGAGGCCGCGCGGCGGCGATCCGGCGAGACGGGTTTGACGGGCGAAGAAGCGGACGCAGCCATGGACGAGCTCGCCGCGGACCTCGAGCTCGCCGAGGAGCGCGCCCGGGCCGCCGAGGACCGCCTGGCGGCGCTCCAGGCGGCGCGCGACAGCGGCGACGACGACGTCGCGGCCATGGAGCAGGAGGTCGTCCTCGAGGAGCTCGCCGCGGACCTCGACGCGGAGCGCCGCCAGCGCGAGTTGGCCGAGTCGCGGTCCGCGGAGCTCGACCGCATGCTCCGCGCGTCGCGGGCGTCCTTCGAGGACGCGCCGCGGCCGTCGGCGGCGGACCTGGACCGCGTGCGCGCGGCCGAGGCGCGCGCGGAGGCGCTGGGCCGCGAGCTCGAGGACGCGCGCGTCCGCGCGTCGCAGCTCGAGGAGTCGCTCGAGGCCTCGGAGCTCGACCGGCTCCACGGCGAGTTCGAGGCGGAGCAGCGGCTCAAGGACGACCTCGAGGGTCTGGCGCGGCCGTCTCGGACGCCGCCGCGGACGCCGAACCGGAGCCCGCGCGCGGCGACGACGCCCGAGCACTGGCAGACCGCGATCTGCGCTAGGTCCGAGGCGGAGGCCGCGGAGCTCGAGGGGCTCGACGACGAGTGGCGGGGCCTCGAGGAGGAGCACAACGACCTGCTGGCGCTGCTCAGGGCAGGACAAGGGTGCGACATTCCCCAACTTCAAAGGCTCCTCTCGTTTCGGCTGATTTTTGGACGAGCGATCATCGCTCGGAGCGGTCTCGACGCGTGGATGTTTTTTTTTGGAACGCGCGCGCGCGGCACACCCACGTTGAAGCGACGTTGCATCACCCGTTTCCTGCCCAGGCGCTGCTGGCGCAGCAGGAGCTCGAGAAGAACGCGCTCGCGGACTTCCTCCGAAAACGCGTGGGGCCGGGCGCCGTCGACGACGTCCGCCGGTCCGCCGAGGGCGAGTGCGTCCACCGCTACGGCCTCTACGTCGACTACGCCAACGAGGGCCAGCTCGAGGGGCTCGAGGACGACCTCCGGCGCCACGACGCGGCCGCGAGCCTCGACGACGTCGCCATGGACCTCTACCGCCGGGGCGAGCCCGCGCACTAAGTGAGCGGCCTTACTAGAACGCGGTCCCGTAGAGCGCGGCGAGGAAGATGAACACCGTCGTCTGCTGGCCCATGACGAAGGCGAGGGACCGCGCGGCGACGACGTTCGCCGCGTAGCCCGCCCAGTGGACGACGCGGTAGACCGCGTGGAGCGCCGCGAGCTGCGCCGTGACGTGCGCATCGGCCTGCAACAGGCCCGCGCAGGCGATCGCGAGGCCGAAGGGCGCCAGGTCCTCCGTCGCGTTGAGATGCGCGCCGAAGAGCCGCGCGCCGAGACCCGTCGCGCGCGTCGCCATGGTCCGCGGCGCGAAGACGTTGTAGCCCTTGGGCTCGGCGCTCGACGAGTAGACGAGGCTCGTCTCGAAGGTGAGGAAGACGAGGAGGTAGCCGAAGAGCACGCAGGCCCAGCTGAGCTTCGCCGGGTCGGCGAGGCCCGTCAATGCCGCGAGCTTGGGCACGAGCACGTCGCGGGAAAAGTCGACGAGGAAGAGCTCGTGGAGCTTGTAGGACACGGCGTGCAGGGCGCCGACGATGGGCACCATGAGCCCGACGCCGGCCTCCTCGAAGCCGAGGAGCTGCTTGAGCACGCCCATGGTGATCGCGGATGCAGCCCCCGAAACCCCTTCAAGAACTCTTCAAGTTGGTCGTTTTCCAAAAGCGGGTTCTGCAGCCGAACTCGGGTCAAAAGGGGAGTGCACACGCCATGGACCTGTCGCGACAGGTCGACCTGTGCAAGCGCCGCGCGCCGCAGCCGCGCGCGCTCGCGACGCCGGACCGCAAGGACCGGAATCTGGCCGTCGCGGCGGCGTCGAAGACGGTCCAGGGGCTGCTGGGCCGCCTGGGCATCCAGCACTACGCCGCCGTCTTCGACAAGCACGGGCTGGATCTCGCGGCGCTGCGGCTGCTCACCCTCGCGGACCTCGAAGGCATGGGCGTCGCGTCGGAGGACGCGGCGCGCATCCGCGGCGTCGCCGCGGCCGCGCCGCGCGGCCGCCGCGACGTCGCGCGGCGCGGCGCGCCCGTCGGCGCGCGCCGCGAGGCTCCCGGCGCGACGGGGACGCTGGCCGTCGCCGCCGCCGTCGCGCACCTGCGCGTCGTCGCGCCGGCGAGCGTGGGCGACGACGAGATCCGCGCGACGCTCGAGGAGGCGCGCCGCGACCCGGGCCGCGTCCGCGCGGCGCTCGAAGCCTGGCGGCGCCGCGAGGACGCGCCCGCCGCCGCGGCGCCGTCGCGCATCCAGGAGTGCCCCTGCTGCCTCGAGCGCGCGCGCGACACGGCGTTCGTGCCCTGCGGCCACGTGCTCTGCGGCGCGTGCGCGGCCGCCTACGGCGAACAACGCTGCCCGATCTGCCGCGCCGCCGTGGGCACGAAGCTCAAGATCTACCTTTGAACATAAGCATGGAGAATGATCTTAGGTGCTTCAGCTCCGTGAAGGGCGCGCCGCGGGGGCGCGAGGCCCCCCACGGCGCGCGGATAGGTCGCGCGAGCGGTACGCCTCTTTCGAGGGAGCCCCGGCTGCCGGTGCGGACCGGGGCTTGGTGTGTCTGCGGCGGAGGAGCCGCCTAGTAGGCGGCCTCCTTGGCGTCGACGACGGCGTCCTTGGAGAGGAAGTCCGTGTGCTCCTGGAAGGGGTTCTTCGAGAAGACCGTGGGCTTCCAGAGCTCGGGCGAGAGGTAGCCGTAGGACGCGGCGATGGCGTTGAAGACGGCGGTGATGAAGTTGCCCGTCGTGCGCGAGTGGCCGCGCGTCGTCGAGTAGCAGTCCTCGAGGCCCGCCATCGCGAGGATCTTCTTGGACGCGGGCGCGGCGACGATGCCCGTGCCGCGGGGCGCGGGGATGAGGCGCACGGACACGGAGCCCGAGGAGCCCGAGAGCTTCATGGGGATGGTGTGGGGCGCGCCCGAGTTCTTGCCCCAGTAGCCGCGGCGGATCGGGATGAGGTTCATCTTCGCCATGATGAGCGCGCCGCGGATGGCCGTGGCGACCTCGCTGGAGCACTTCTTGCCGAGGCCGATGTGGCCTTCGAAGTCGCCGACGGCGACGTAGGCCTTGAAGCGCGTGCGCTGGCCCGCGGACGACTGCTTCTGCACGGGCTTGATGTTCATGACCTCGTCCTTGAGCTTGCCGGCCGTGGGCGGGAAGAAGTAGTCGACGATCTGGTACTCCTTGATGGGCATGGAGTAGAGGAAGATCTCCTCGAGGGACTTGATCTTGCCCTCCTTGACGAGGCGCCCGAGCTTGGTCACGGGCACCCACTCCTCCTTGGCGTCGTCGCCGCGCCCGCGCCCGCGCCCGCGGCCGCGCCCGCGGCCGTCGCGGCCGCGCCCGCGGCCGTCGCGGCCGAAACCGCCGCGGCCGCGGCCGCCATCACCAGCAGGAGCATCACCCATCTTGAACTGCGGGGGGCGGCGCGGGTGAGAGGGCGCGCGCGGCGCGGGGTTCGGGGAGGCGCGCGTTCGAGCGAGCGGCGTCGGGGCGGCGCGCGGCCAGTGGGGGCGGCGGCGGCGGGCGACGGCGACGCGGCGCCGTGGCTGCGCAGCGATGCAGGCCGGCCATGGGGCTCGACGCACACCGCCGCGAGCCGGCGGTCGCCGCGGCCGCGCCGCGCAGCGTCTAGCCGGCGCACTGCGCGACGACGGCCTTTCGGCGACGCCTTTCGGCCGTCGATCGGCCACAGCGTCCGACGTCGTCGTCGCCAACCGACCCACGGCATCGCGCACGGCCGAAAACCTCTCAGACAGGCGCGCGGGATGGCGGGCGGCGGCGCGTCTCACCTTGGCGAGTTTGTCGTCGACGAGATCGCCGGCGAGATGTCTCGCTGCTTTTTGGCGGAGATCGCCTCAACCTAATGTAGAATCCTAGCCTATCCTACGTTGCACTTTGGGCAATGTTGAACAATTCTGCGCGATCAATCTCGCAGCCCGATTGATTAATCGGCGGCACCGCTCATCGACGATCCCATGGGCGGCGGCGTGTCCCTGCCCGCCGTGCCGCTGAACACGGTGCACAAGCGCTACCTCGTCGCCAAGTACGCGGCGGCCGAGGAGGCCGTCGCCGACGGCGAGCTGCCCAGCGTGCTCCAGCGCCGCGCCTCCGCCTGGCTCGAGAAGCACCTGCCCGGCGTGATCCTCTTCGACCAGATGGACAGCGACCACTCCGGCACGGTGGACCGCGACGAGCTCCGCCGCTTCCTCTGCGCGCTGCCGCGGCGGGGCGCGCCGCCCTTCGAGCACGCGTTGGACGCGCTCGACGGCGACGGCGACGGCGAGATCACGCTCGACGAGTGGCTGGCGAACCTCGCGAAGCTGCCGGCCCTCGAGCAGGCCATCACCGCGGGATTAGACGAAAAGGGCAAGATTCGCGGCTACGCGTCCCTCGAGACGCGGCTCGAGGAGGTCACGGACGAGACCGCGGCGCTCGAAAAAACGCTCGCGAAGAGCGCGGACGCGGCCGCGGCCTTCGCAGCGCTCCCCGAGGAGACGCGGGTCTGGCTCGAGCGGCGCCGCGCGGAGCGCGCGCGCCTCGAAGCGGCCGTCGGCTCCGTGGGCAGCCGCGTCTTCCGGCAGATCGACCGCGACGGCTCGGGCAAGATCGACCGCGCGGAGCTCATCGGCCTGTTGAAGGCGCTCCACAAGAACACGCGGCGGTCCGGCAGCCTCGACGACGAGGGCGCGGGCCTCTCGCTCGACGAGATCCTCGGCCGCCTCGACGTCGACGGCGACGGGCTCATCGACGAGGACGAGTGGCTCGCGAACCTCGGCGAGCTCCCGGCGCTGCAGGCCTACATCGGGCGCTACGTCGACGCGGCGACGGGCTACGTCCGCGGCCTCGACGAGGTCCGGACGCCGTCGCCGCCGCCCATCGCGCGCGGCGTCGACCCCGTCTCCTAACACCGTGACACAATTATTTCTAACTTTCAACGATGATGTCGTTTCACAAATCTTGTGTTTCAAACAAAACACACAAAACTAGGACGTCCGCCCCCGCCGGAAGACGCGGAGCAGCCAGCGCCGCGGCGGCAGGGTCCGCCGGCGCTCCGCCGCGGGGAGGTCGTCGAACGCGACCTCGGGCGGCGGCCGCCCCGCGACGGGCGGGAGCGCGGCGGCGCCGCCGCCGCGATGGCGGAAGGCGTTCTGGCGCAGGAGCGGCGGCCGCCGGTTCAGCGGCGGCGGCGAGTCGAGCGCATCGATCTTGGGCGCGAGGTATAGCGCGAGCTCCGCGCCGCGACGCCCGCACCGGTTCTGGAGCAGGACCTCGTCGAACAGGGCCCGCCGGCACGGGTCGCGCTCGACGTCGCGCCGCTTCAGGGCCGCGGCGGCGGCGAGGACGAAGAGCGACGGGACGGCGCCGTCGGGCGGCGCGGCGGACGGCGTATGGAGCTGCGGCGCCGACGCCGGCCGCCCGACGTTCCGCGGCGCCGGGGACCCGGGCGGCGACATCCGCGCGCGTTCTTTCGTTGACGTCGCGGCGCGCCGGCGTGCGTCGTTATGTGGACTTCGCGGGTGCGAGGCCGCGCACGCGGCGCCCGAACGAGGCGGCACTCCACGCTGCCTAGGGATCTCCTTGGGTGCGGGCACGACGTCGATCTGTGGCAGCTCGCCAATATTGGCTTATTGCCTCTGCATCATCGGCGCAGCCCTCGCCGCTCGGCGCATCGCCTCCGCGCGCGCCACTGCCGTCGCCGACCAGCACACCAACCAGCACAAAAATCACCGACGCGCCGCCTCGCAGCGCTGCCGCCGAAAACAATGGCCGTCGGCGAGGAGACCATGTCGAACATCCTCGAGGACCTGCTGACGCCGGGCACGGGCGTCAAGATCGTGCCCTTCGTGAACCGCACGCTCGGCGCGCTCATCGCCGTGCTCCTCTTCAGCGCCCTGCGCTGGCGGGCCGTCGCCGTGCATCTCTACGTCATGGTGTTCCTCGCGCTCGGCCTCCTCGCGTCGCTGAACTGGTTCGCCGCGGAGATGAAGAAGAGCCGATGAGTAACGCGCGCTACGCCCTATGCTCGTGCTTCGTCGATGTGGCGCGGGGCATCTTGACGTGGGGCGCCGCGGGCTTGCGGCCCTTGGAGTAGGCGAACTCGACGCCGTCCATCTCCGCGCGCGTGAACGGCGCGGCGGCGAGCGCGGCGAGGTCGTCGCGGACGTGGAGCGCCGACGTCGAGCCGACGACGGGCACGACGCCGAGCTGGAGCGCGAACTTGAGGGTCGCCTGCTCCGGCGAGATGCCGTGGCTCGAGGCGATCTTCTGCACCTCGCGGCCGCGGTCGAGCGCGGGCCGGTTGCCGGACACGAGGCCCGGCGCCTGGACCAGGAGGTCGTGCGCCAGCGCGAAGCTCCGGTCCTCCCTGCCCCAGGCGCGGTCCGCGCGCAGCTTCGTCTGGTGGATCCGGCACCGGGGCCCGTCGAGCGCGAGGAGCTGCTCCAGGAGCTTCGGCGAGAAGTTGCAGACGCCGATGAGGGACGTGACGCCGCCCTCGGCGAGGCCCTGGAGCGCGCGCCAGGCGGCGACGTCCGCCGGCGACAGGACGTCGCTCCGCCGCGCCTCGTTCGACGGGCCCCGGAGGAGGAGCGCGCCCGCCTGGCGGATCCCGATGGCCCGGAGCCCGTGGCGCACGGCGCGCGTCACGCGGTCCGCGGCGCCCTGCGCCGCCTCCTCCGCCGACGGCGCCTCGACGCCCTTCTTCGGCGCGGACACGTGGTGCACCTTGACCTGCACGAAGAAGCCGTCCGACGGCTTCAGGAGCGGCATGGACGCGACGGCGTTGCGCAGCGCCTCGCCGACGCCTAGGAAACGCATGACTATGAAGGTCATGGTCGTTGTCGCGCGACGCACCGGTCTCGTTGAAGCGGTTGCCCTCGCCGCTCGCCGTGTCGACGCCTCGGAAGCCCGCCCGGAACGCGCGCTCGACGAGCTCCGCCGTCTGGTGGCGCTTGTAGGCGCTGGCGTAGATCAGATTCGGCACGCGCACGTCGCTCGCGTTGGCCAGCGAGCTCGGCACGGTGACGTACTTGACGGCCTTGATCTTCCCCGGCGGGGCCCGAACTCTGTCGAAGAACGACGCGTGTGTGCATGCGAGCAGGGCAAAACTGAGAGAGCGCATGGCTGCAGTGTGTGGGCAGCCTATGGCGGTGTCGGTGGTGTCGAAGACGGCCTACTCGCAGCGTCTGGAGGCCAGCGATGGGGCGACCATGTTTTGCCACAAGCGATTGTGCACTTCACATTCACAGCACTTGACGCGCGATGGGCGGCCCGTAAGACGCAATAAGATGCGCGGTCTCGTCGCGTTGATCGTCGCCACCGCGGCGGTGTCGAAAGCACCACCACCCGAAAAGGATCGGAACGTGCGCGAGCGCCGCGCACACTCAAAACCACCACCACCGCCCGAGAAAAAGGACCGGAACCTGCGCGAGCGCCGCGCGCCGCCGAAATCACCGCCGCCCGAGGGCAACACCGTCGTGCGCTTCGTCGTGCTCGAGCCGCCGGCGCGGCCGACCCAGTTCTGCGTCGGCGAGCTCGCCTTCTACGACTCCGCGGGCCGCGCGGTCGCCGCGGCGCAGGCCGAGGCGTCGAGCCCGCGGAAGGACGCGGGCTTCGCGCCGCGCCTGGCCGTCGACGGCCGGCTGCACCACGACTTCTGCTCCGAGCTGCCCACGGGCTGGGTCGAGGCCGTCGTCGCGGCGCCCCCGGGCGAGCTCGCGGCGTACCGCGTGGGAAGCGACTGCGGCGAGGACACGCCGACGGACTGGCGGCTCGAGTACTGCGTCGCCGGGTGCCTCAACAGGCACGGCCGGCGCATCAGCGGCGACGGCGTCTGGGAGGCCGTCGACGAGCGGCGCGGGGAAACGTGGGCGCCGGGCTGCGACGGCGAGTGGCGCGAGTACGCGGTGCCGCGGTGGCGCGCGCTCCGCGTCCGCGGCGGCCTCGAGCCCTGGTGCCTCTCGTCCGTCGAGGTGCTGGGCGCGCGGGGCGCGGTGCTCCCCGTGAGCTCCGCGCGCGTCGTGAGCGGGCCGAACGCGGCGCCGCCGCTCGACGCGACGAGTCCCGCGTTCGCGGACCGCGCGGCGCGCGTGTCGAACCCTGTGTGGAAATCAAATCTTCAACCCGACTTCAATGTGCGCGTATTCGAATGTTTTGACGCAAGCTCTTCGGGTGTGCTTCCAGAACTCGACGAGAGCAATCGATTCGCCTAAAAATCAGCCGAATCGACTTCCATTTGACCGAGCTAGAGAATTTCAAAGTTTGGCCCCGGCGTCCCAGCTCACTGGTCGATTTCCACACAGGTCGAATCTGATCTCCGCCGGCCGCGGCGACGGCAACGACTGGTGCAGCGACCGCGACACCGTGTCGCGCTACGTCGCGGCCGCGGCGCCGCGCTGCGCGTCGCGCGCGCGGTCGGGCAGCTGGTGCCACACGGGCATCGCCCTGGGGACGGACTTCGAGTCGCCGGAGCGCTGCGCGGCGGCAGCGGCGGACCGGTGCGTCGGGTCGTCGAGGATCCAGTGGCACAAGAGCGGCGACGGCCGCTGCGGCTGCTGCACGGCCGACGACGCGCGCGAGTACGACGTCGACGAGTGGGACGTCTACGAGCACGGGCCCTGCGCGGCGCTCACGCTCGAGCTGAAGATCGAGGACCGCGCGGCCGTCGTCGACGTCCGCGCGCGGACGTCGGCGCGCTGCGGCTCGCCGCCGCCGCCGCAGCTGACGGTCGAGGGCTGCAAGTGGGACCGCCACGCGGACGGCGCCGAGCGCCTCTCTTTCGGCGGCTGCCGCGCGTGGGAGCCGCTCGCGCGGCGCGAATTCGACGACGGCGAGCCCTGCGGCGAGCCGCGGTGGGTCGCCGTGCCCGTGCCCGCGGCGTCCGTGGTCACGCGGTTGCCCGTCGTGCGGTCGTCGACGTCGGGCGACGACTTCGACCGGCTGGTCGGGGCCGTGGGCGTCGCGCGCGGGCCCGGCCTACCCGCCGTCTCCGCGGCGCCCGTGGACCTCGGCAACTGGGAGTGGGCGACGAAGCCCGACGGCGTCGCGCTCCGGCGCATCAAGCTGACGACGGGCCACCTCGACGACTTCTCGCGCCTCAGCCGCCACCGCGTCGTCTCCGCGACGTTCGCGCGGAACGTGTCCGGCGACTCGGTCCTCGGCCGCGGCCAGCCGGGGGGCAACGTCATAAACCTGCGCATCTAGCCCGTACCCACCTGGGCCGCGACGGCCGTGAGGGGCAGGCACCCGCGCGCGTCTAGCCCTTACCCATCTGGGCCGCGACGGCCTTGAGGGCCTCGGCCTGGATGACGCGCGACGCGCGGCGCATGGCGACGGAGCCCTGCTTGTTGATCTGCGCGCTGCGCCGCGCGGGCAGCGGCGCGACGACGTCCTGCTGCTTCAGCGCGTCGGCGGACGTCGCGTAGTCGGCCTCGCACTCCTGGACGTAGTCGAAGATGGAGTCGCGGCCCGCGTGCGCGAACAGCCGGAACCAGCACCGCTTGTCGGGCACGCGGCGCCGCCGCCGCTTCGTGCGCACGTTCGCCACGAGCCGCCCGATGATGCGCTCCGCGCCGGAGTTGACGTCCTCCTTGCCCGCGTCGTCGGAGGCCGCCGTCGCCGGCCGGCTCCCGGGGCCGCCGCGCAGGAGCATCCGCACGTCCTCGATGGACGCTAAGCGCGCGGCGATCGCGTACGCGTTGTTCGCCAGCAGGTTCGTCGAGTCCGGCAGATCCACCTTGAACTTGCGGCGGCACTCGAAGAGCAGCTTCCGCAGGTAGTCCCTCCGGTGCGACGGCGGCACGCGGCGCCGCTGCAACTTCCGGAGCTCGTCCTCGAGGTCCATGTCGACCATGTCCAGCTGCGCCTTGACGCGCGCGTCCTGCGTCGCCGCCGCCCCGAAGGACCGCGGCGCGCCGCGGGGCGTGCCCTTGGCCGCGGACCCGGGCGTCGACGGCGGCGCGGGCGCGGGCAGGCCGCCGAAGGACGACCCGCGCCGCGCGGACGACCGCGGGCTCGACGGCGCGGGGCTCCCCAGGGGCGACAGCGCCGGCAACGCCCCGACGACGTCGCCGCCCTCGCCCTCGGCGTCGGGCTCCGCGCGCGCGCCCACGGCGAAGATCTCGACGCGGCGCTGCTCCGCGACCTCGTGGCACCGCGCCTTCGCCGCGCGGTAGTAGTCCGTCTCCGCGTCCTGCCACAGCATGTTCAGCAGCGCGAGGCGGTGCGACGACACGACGGCGAACTCGCGCCAGTAGCGCTGGACGCGCCGCGTCGCCTTGAGCAGGTTCTTGATGACGCGGTGGATGTGCTTCCGCGCGTTCGCGTTCTCCGTCAAAAAGTGGGCGATGACGTCGACGGCCTTGCCCTTGCGGTTCATGAGCATGGTCGTCCGCTTCGCGGCGATGTAGGACCTGGGCGGGAAAAGAGTGCGACATTCCCAACTTTGGAGGCTCCTCTCTCGGTCGTTTTCCACTCGTTTCGGCTGATTTTTGGACGAGCGATCATCTCTCGGAACGGTCTCGAAGCATGGATGTCTTTTCCGGAACGCGCGCGCGCGGAACACTCACGTTGAAGCGAACTTGAATCTCTCTCTTTCCGGCCCTGCGTAGGACGAGATCTTCTTCGCGGAGTCGCGGTACCTCCGGCCCCGGTCGACCTCCGTCTTCCGCCGCCAGAGGTTCTGCACGCGCGACGCCGCGCCCTTGACGGCGCGCCCGCCGCCGTACTGGTCCGACTCCCGGGTCCGTCTATCATAAGACCGCTTCGTGTCGACGGCGTTGCGCGCGAGGACGAGCGCGGCGAGCCAGGGCCGCGCGCGCTGCTCGTCCTCGAGGCGCTCGGCCTTGGTCTTGACGACGCGCGCCGTCTTCCGCACGTAGGCCGATAAAATCCGCTCGCTGCGCTTCGAGTGGAAGCTCTCCCGGTTCGAGCGCACGGACGCGTGCTTCTCCGCCAAGGTCCTTCGCGGCGACTCGGCCGCGACGCGGTGCGCCAGCGCGCGCTGGCGCCGCACGTCGGGGTCGTTGCGCCGCGCCTCCTGGCGCTTCTCCTTCAAATAGTCGATCTTCTTGAAGAACTCCTCGCGCGCGTCCGCGTCGCCGTTCAGGCTGTCGAGCCGCGCGTTCAGCGCCTTCTCGAGGGGCGTCGCGTACTTCAGCGCCACGTCCAGGGACCGCTTGAGCTGCTGGTCCAGCACCCGCAAGTTCATGGGCACGCCGGCGCGCTTCTTCCCGTCGCCGTCCCGCCGCGGCGGCGGCGCGCAGGGCAGCCCCGCGGCGGATCGCGGCGAGCCGAGGCTCAACGATAAAGCTTCGTCGAGGGACATGTCGCCCAGGAGGTGCGCCGTCTCGCCGAGGTGGCCGCCCTTGGACGCCCGCGGGTCCAGCCGCGGGTCCGGCGGCAGGGGCGCGGACGGCCGCAGGCTCGCGGACGAGCCGACCTCGGCGAGCTCGGTTAAAAAGACGAGCGCCGACGCGCTGCCGTCGTCGTCCTCGGGCTGCGGCTCGTCGGCGGGGAAGCCCCCGTGCACGCCGAAGGGGCTACCGGCCGCCTCCGTGAGCGGGCTCGCGGCCTCCGCGGCCGCGGCGCCGCGGCCGCCGCGCGGCGACGCCGCGGGCGACCGGTCGCCCTCGCGCGGCGAGTGGGGCGCGGCCGGGCTCCCGGGCCCGGCGCTGGCGGGCGCCGCGGCCTTGAGGTGCCGCGCGCGCTGGCTCTCCTTGGACGGCTTCGCGCCCTTGGGCGGCCCCAGGCGCGTGTAGCCGGAGATGGCGCTCTCGGGGCTGAAGAGGCGGCTCAGGAACTCGCTGCGAAATTGCAGGAACTGCTGCTCCGGCGGCGCCGGCGCCGGCTTGAGCGGGGCCATGGTGTTTGTTTTTACCGGGCGCTGGGCTCAGCACGCATGCATGGCGTCGCCATGGCCCATGCCACCGCGCCGGAGAGTCGGTTACAGTGAGGAAACGTTGGCTTGCTTGCCGCTTTGGGTGCCGTGGTGCTTCGATGGCTACTTGTAGCTTTGCGAGGCGGGAATAGTCACGCATGGCGGCTCTCGAGGATAATATGGACGTCGACGCGCCGACGCAGGCGACGCCCGCAGCGCACCTCGACGCGACGGCCGCGGCGTGGGTGCCCGGCGGCACGATCGAGGAGGGCGGCTCGCGGCGCCCGGACGGGTCGCTGCGCAAGAAGGTGCGCGTGCGCCAGGGCTGGGCGGCGCAGCGCGAGCCGCGGCGCTTCGCGCCGCGCGGGTCCGGCGCCTCGGGCGGCGTCCGGTCGGCGGCGGCGCTCGCGCGCGGCGCCGAGGCCGCGCGCGCGGCGCGCGACGCGGCGCTGCCGCCCGTCGACTGCGTCGGCTTCTCCCTCGCGGCGCCGCCGCCGGGCTGCGCGGGCCTCGCGGGGCCCGCCGCGGTCCACCTCGACGTGTCGGAATCCGCCGCCGACGGCGCGAGTCTGCTCGTGGAGTGGTTCAGCGAAAGACCCGAGCGAGTCGGAGAGCTCGCGTTCCGCGGGCGGACGCGCCAGGAGCGGCACGACCTCTACGCGCTCGTCGACCGCCACGACGGCCTGGCCGCGGCGTCCGGCGGCTTCGGCGAGGACCGGGCCATCCGCGTCTTCTACGCGGAGGCGGCGCGGCCGGAGAGCGCCGAGGACCGCGCGGCTGGCGAAGAAGTCGACGCGCTCTGGCGCCTCGTCCTCACGGAGCGCGACACGGGCGGCGCGCCCGAGGCCGCGGACCTGTCGCGAGGCGAGCTCCGGGAGCTCTGCGCGCTCGCGAAACCGCCGCCCTGGCTCGCGGCGCTCCGCGAAAAGCAACTGGCGACGGTCGCGGCCGCGGCGACGCTCCGCGCGGCCTGCGAGGCGGGCGACGCGGCGGCGGTCCTCGACGTGCTGGGGACGCACCGGTCGGCGCTCTTCGCCGACCACGCGACGCCGCCGCTCCACTTGGCCGTCGCGGCGGGCTCCGCGGACGCCGTCGCCGCGCTTTTGGCCGCGGGCGCGCCGACGAACGTGCGGGACCGCGCGACGGGCGAGTCGCCGCTGGAGTTGGCGCGGCGGATGGGGGACGAGGACGTGGTGGCGGTGCTGCGGAGGTTGTAAGGTGAGGTGCCCTTACGTGACTAGTAATCATCCAAAATCAGCTCAGCCAGGGCCCTCCCCGCCGCTTAGACCTTAAGGCACGTAGCTGACGCCGCCCGTCGCGCGGTTGGTACGCGGGGGTCCCCCGGTGAGTATAAGAACGCGGCCGGCGCCTTAAAGTACCGCCGAACTCGCACGTCGCGCCGCGGTCGCGCGGCCCGTCGGGCGCGTTTCGCGCGCGCGTGTCGGATATCTTGGAGGTTCGCACGAATCACCACCGGCCCTTCGCCGACTGCTTTCCTGCCGCGAGCTCTCCGGGTTTCGGGTACTGCCTGCGCTGAGCCCTCGTGAACCAAGGAGAACCAAGGGCTCGAAGTTTCGTTGATAACTGCACAAAGCAGCCACGATGCACTCGGCGGAGAGCATCTCTGGAGGTCCTTCTGGGCTGCTGGGGCGGCGCGCGCAGCGCATGCACAAAGGGCGCCACATCTTCTGTCGCGCGGCCTCCATGGCGCGCATCAGCGGCCGCGAGCGCGCATCATTGGTGCGGCGGGTCGGCGCGGCGGTGGAGCGCCACGCCCCGAAGATCATGAAAATGTCGATGCTCGTCGGCGCGATGGCCTGCCTCGCGGGGACGCGCTCGTCGTCGTGCATGCCGCGGCCCGTGGACCTCGACGAGACGCTGGAGCCGACCTTCACGGACGGCGCGCGCAAGTACTGGCACCTGCGG